GGTAAAGGGTAACTTTAAACCTGTTGTAAAAGGGTAATTTAAACTAATAAACTGTATTAACTCCAAGAAGGGTCAACATTTTTTAAAATAATCTCCACGTCCCTCAACCCCCCCTCCCCCCCCCGGCCCCCCTTTTTCACTCTTCCCCCCTCCATTTTGTCCACTCTTCCTTTTAGAAAACGTTTACTATAAGTTGATAAGAATATAAGCAAGACTTCACACCCCCCACCGTGACGTCACAGACCTACACACACGCCTGGAATTCATTCTCGGGCGAACGGTGGTTACAAAAGGTTTTGGGGGTGAATGGACGGACCAGCCCGGCCCCGGGGGGGTGGGGGGGAGGTTTGAGGGTAAGATATCCCACCACAGCAGCTCCTCCCCCGAAGTTGACCCAGATCTTCGTTTTGTCTCGTGACTGCATCACGCGCTCTTATTTACACTTTCACGTGCTTCTGTCCAACTGTTTAAACGCACCGTTCCCCTGTTCACTTCATGCTCACCGTACCCTTTCTTTTTTTTGCTACGCTGTTAAAAGCAGAAATTGTTGCTGGCACACCGGACTGATTTAGTCCGAATAGATCTAAAGTATAAGACCCGCCAGTAGGCCTACAAAGCAAGAACCCATTTGAAAAAAACAAAAAAAACCAGTCTATAGTTATTTTATATTGTCTGTTGTCAAACAAACGGAGGGTGGGGTGGGGGAGGGGGGTCAGTGGGTAGCTAAAATTTAAATCAAGCAACCTGTTATAGACAACGCCTGTTAAAGAAAACTTCCCAACAAGGCTTGACTAAATGGAAATCTGCTTACATTTATATAAGAGTTGAACCTGACATACATATCAAGCAGGCGTTTCCTTGTTATAAAACATGGCCCCTTTTTGTTTATGTTTTACAGCACACAACTTATGCACCATCTCACATAGACGCACGCACTCAGTTCCCACACATGAAATTATGTAATAGGTCTAGATCTAGGTCTACGTATGCGTTGATTAATTGTAGAGCAGATGGCCTTGACCTTGAAATTCTCCGACCAGCTCGTGCCTTCTGTCATGGCTTTAGGTTACTATGGGTGACGTCAGTTGGCGAATCCAGGGTGGGCCCCTCTCAAATGACCAAAACAATCTTGATATTAGCAAGATGCCCGTAATCATTGGCGCCCTAAGCATCATGTGGCACTCTAGGTGTTAAATAGCGAACTGTCTTAAGCATTTATACGCACGCTCAGTGAATGAAATATTTTATTATATTGATACCTCCTGAATATGGCCTTGACAACATTTAGTAGATTTGATTCATCAATCGGGCCCTTTCTCGTCTGTGTATGGAAAGGCTCTTAAAGCCTCACGAGGTCGAAG